TTGAGACAGTCTCATTCTGTTGCCCAGGCTGGAGTGCAGTGCAACCTCTGCCTCCCAGGTTCAAGTAATTCTCCTGCCTCAGCCTCCCGAGTAGCTGGGATTCCAGGCATCCACCACCATGCCTGGCTAATTTTTGCATTTTTAGTAGAGACGGGGTTTCACCATGTTGGCCAGGCTGGTCTTGAACTCCTGACCTCATGATTTGCTGCCTTGGCCTCCAAAAGTGTTGGGATTACAGGCATGAGCCACTGCAGCTGGCCTCACTCTAGAGCTTTGAATGCCACACTAAGAAGCTTGACTGCTATCATATAGCCAGTGTCTGGGAAAGTGACAGTCACAGTTACATGGCTGGGGCAGATTGGAATGAAGGATGCTCGCGAGTAGATGAACACTGTAGAGCTGCTGCCCAGGTTTGGGTGGAAGGAAATGAGACCTTGAGCCTGCTTCGGGATAGGGGGCATGTCTTAGAAGAAAACAACGTCCTCGCTGGGATCTGGGCTCTTGCAGCTACACAGAAGTTGCTAACAACGTGCAGAAGGAGGAGACTGTCACCAACATCCAGTTTGTGCTGCTGGACTGCTCGCACCTCAAGTTCTCCCTGGTGCAGCACTGCAATGAGTGGCAGAACAAGTTCACGACTCTGCTCAAGGAGATGGCGGCGGGGCGTCTCCTGGAGCTGCACACTTACCTGAAGGAGAATGCAGAGAAGTGCGGGCTGGGGCGCCCCGCAGGAAGGGGGCAGGGGCAGACCCTGGGCCTTCCACTCACTGGCGCCCCCTTTGCTCGTCTTCAGAATCAGCCGCCCTCCGCAGACGCTGGAGGAACTGGGGGTCAGCTTGCAGCTCATGGATACCCTGCAGCATGACTTGCCCAACCTGGAGACTCAGATCCCTCCCATACACGAGCAATTTGCCATTCTCGAAAAGTACGAGGTGCCGGTCCAGGACAGTGTGAGTTCCTTCGGTGTTTGGTCTACCTGGGACCCATATCAGAAACAGATTTCAGGGGAGGTGCTTGGCCGTCCTCAGGGAGAGTGAGAAGTGACAGAGAAGACTCCAGATGTGAAAGTCTCTGAGAGCCAAAGCCAGGTCAAACGATACCTTCACTCAGCTTCTGGATTCCTCCCTTCTCCTCCTCCTCCTTCTTCTTCTTCTTCCTCTTCCTCTCCTTCTCCTTCTCCTCTTTTCCTCCCCCTCCTTCCTTCTTCCTCTTTCTTCCTTTCCTTCTCCTCCTCCTTCTTTCTTCTTCCTCACCTTGTCCCCCTCCTCCTCCTCCTTCTTGTTCTTCCCTTCTTATCCTTCTTCTCCTCCTCCTTTTTTCTTCCTCCTCCTCCTTTTTTCTTCCTCCTCTTCCTCCTTCTTCTTCCCCTTCCCCTCCCTCTTCTTCTTCCTCCTCCTCCTCCTTCTCCTTCTTCCCCTTCCCCTCCCTCTTCTTCCTCCTCCTCCTCCTTCTTCTTCCCCTTCCCCTTCCTCCTCTTCCTCCTCCTTCTTCTGGCCCTGCCTCTGCCACCCTGAGATTGCATTGGCCCAATTTCAGCCTACTGCAGCCTCTGCCTCCCAGGCTCAAGTGATTCTCCTACTTCCACCTCCCAAGTAGGTGGGACCACAGGCACATGCCACCACACCTGGCTGATTTTTGTATTTTTGGTAGAGATGGGGTCTCATTTTGTTGCCAAGGCTGGTCTTGCACTCCTGAACTCAAGCAATCCACTGACCTCCACCCAAAGTGCTGGGATTATAGGTGTGAGCCACTGCACCCAGCTGGATTTATTTATTGCATTTACTTTTTTTTTCTTTTGACCTCATTCTCAGACAGACAACTCCTGGATCCTTCCTTCCTTCTTTCCTTTCTTTCTTTTGTTTTCTTTCCTTTTTTTTTTCAGGGCTCGATCCATTGCCCAGTGCAGTGGTGCAACCATGGCTCAGCGTAGCCTCAACTTCCTGGGCTCAATGATCCTCTCACCTCAGCCTCTCGAGTAGCTGGGATTACAGGCACACACTACCACACCTGGCTAGTTTTTGTATTTTTAGTAGAGACAGTGTTCTGCCAGGTTGTTCAGGCTGGTCTCAAGCTCCTGACCTCAAGTGATCCTCCTATCTTGGCCTCCCAAAGTGCTGGGATTACAGGCGTAGCCGCCGCGCCCAGCCTGGGTTTCTTTTAGGCAACTCATACCTCGATCGTTTTAGGCCTTGTCACACATGCAAAACTCATCCCTAGACTCTGGTCTGGAGGATCAGAAATGAGTCCAAAAAGCCTTGATGAGGCTGGACATGATGGCTCACACCTGTAATCTCAGCACTTTGGGAGGCTGAAGCGGGTCAATCACCTGAGGTTGGGGGTTCAAGACCAGGCTGACCAACATGGAGAAACCCTGTCTCTACTAAAAATACCAAAAAAAAAAAAAAAAAAAAAATTAGCCAGGCATGGTGGTGCATGCCTGTAGTCCCAGCTACTCTGGAGGCTGAGGCCAAAGAATTGCTTGAACCTGGGAGGCAGAGGTTGCAGTGAGCTGAGATTGCACCACTGCACTTCAGCCTGGGCAACAAGAGCAAAACTCTGTCTCAAAAAAAAAAAAAAAAAAAAGCCTTGATGAGAGGGCAGACCTCCTGCTCCTGGTCATCCTCCACTCTCTGGCACCCCCAGGTACTGGAGATGCTAGACAGTCTCAATGGGGAGTGGGTTGTCTTCCAACAAACCCTGCTGGACAGTGAGCAAATGCTGAGGAAATACAAGGAGAAATTCAAGACAGGCCTGATCCACTCAGCAGATGATTTCAAGAAGAAAGCACACACGCTTCTGGAAGATTTCGAATTCAAAGGTACTCCTTGATCTGCTTCTCCCACTTCTTTAGCCTTTGTTTAGGGACCCTGCCTTCCGAGCCCAGGTCCTGGGACGGTGAGAACAGGGAGAGGAATGGGAGGGCCAGTGCTGGGGCCGGGTAAGAGCCACAGCTCAGGAGCAAAGGATGAGGACACCCGGGGCTCTAGTTTTGGGGGAGGCAGTGGCGCAGCTCATAGCATTTCTGCTTTTCTTTTTCTTTTTCTTTTTCTTTTTTTGAGACAGAGTCTCACTCTATCACCGGGCTGGAGTGCAGTGGTGTGATCTCGGCTCACTGAAACCTCTGCCTCTCGGGTTCAAGCAATTATCCTACCTCAGCCTCCCCATTAGCTGGGACTACAGGCGTGTGCCACCACGCCCAGCTAATTTTTGTATTTTTAGTAGAGACTAGATGGTCTTGATCTCTTGACTTTGTGATCCGCTTGCCTTAGCCTCCTAAAGTGCTGGGATTACAGGCGTGAGCCACCACACCTGGCCCCCATTTCTACTTTTCTTATCCCGACTACTGTATTCCATCTGTTCCTGACTCTCAAGTTGCATTTAGGAGTTTCTGCTAAGATTAACCACCATTCTTTCAATGCGTTCCCTGTTGCTCTCCTTCCCTTCTCTCTCTCACGTGAGGAGAGAGGTGAGATTTGCCCACAAAGAGACAGGAGAGCCGTGGCCTTCCTTGCTGGACGTGGGCAGGAAGCTGAGCTTCATCCTGAATCTCCCACAGGCCCTTTCACCAGCAACGTGGGACACATGTCCGCCCTAGAGCAGATCACACAAGTGCGGGCCGTGTTGATGGCCATGCGGGAAGAGGAAAACAGCCTCCGAGCCAACCTGGGCCTCTTCAAGATCGAGCAGCCACCCTCTAAGGACCTTCAGAACCTAGAGAAGGTGGCGTGCTGAGCGAGGGCCCCGTGGTAACCGTCGATCAGGGGCAGGGACAGGAGAATGGGTCCTTAGGACCACAAAGGCAGTGGGATGGGAGAGGAGCTCATGAGGAGCTTCTGTTTGTTGGTTTCAGTTGAGGTAAAATTCATGTAAAAAATTTAATTTTTTTTTTTTTTTGAGGCAGAGTCCTGCTCTGATGCCCAGGCTGGAGTGTAGTGGTATGATCCAGCTCACGGTAACCTCTGCCTCCCGGGTTCAAGCGATTCTCGTGCCTCAGCCTCCCAAGTAGCTGGGATAACAAACATCCACTACTATACCTGGCTAATTTTTGTACTCTTAGTAGAGATGGGGTTTCACCATGTTGGCCAGGTTGGTCTCGAACTCCTGACCTCAGGTGATCCACCCACCTTGACCTGCCAAAGTGCAGGGATTACAGGTGTGAGCCACTGCACCCTGCCAAAATTAACCATTTTGAAGTGAACAGTTAGTGACATTTAGTAATTCACACCACTTCTATCTAATTCCCAAACTTTTTTTTTTTTTTTGAGATGAAGTCTCGCCCTGTCACCCAGGCTGGAGTGCAGTGGTGTGATATTGGCTCACTGCAACCTCTGCCTCCTGGGTTCAAGCGATTCTCCTGCCTCAACCTCCTGAGTAGCTGGGTCTATAGGTGCGCACCACCTCACCCAGCTAGTTTTTTTGTATATTAATAGAGACGAGGTTTCACCAGATTGGCCAGGAAGGTCTCAAGCTCCTGACCACATGACCCACCTGCCTCGGCCTCCCAAAGTGCTGGGATTACAGGCATGAGCCACCGTGCCCGGCTCAACATTTTTATTACCCTAAAGGAAACCCTGCCCATTAGCACTCATGTCCATTCCCTCTCCCCCACGCCTGTCAGTTATAAATCTGTTTTTCATGTGTTTGATTCGCCTATTCTAGACATTTCATACCAATGGAACCATGTCATACGTGGCCTTTTTAATCTGGCTTCTTTCACTTAGCATTATGCCTTCAAGGTTTATCCATGGTGTAGCATGGATCAGTCCTTTTTTAAATGGCTGAATATTCATATTTGAATATGGCATGAATTTACCACATTTTGTTTATCCATTTGCCAGTTGATGGACATTTGGGTTGTTTCCACCTTTTAGCTAAAGAGAGTCAGTGCTGCTATGAACATGCGTGTACTTGTATTTGTCTGAACACCTGTTCCCCGTTCTTGCGGGTGTAAGCCTAGGAGTGGAATTGCTCAATCATATGGAAACTCTATGTTTAACTTGTTGAGGAGCTGCCAAGCTATTTTCCACAGCAGCTGCACCATTTCACATTCCTACTAGCAGTGTACCAGGGCCCCTATTTCTCCAGATCTTCGTGCCAACCCTTATTTACCTTTTTTTTTTTTTTTGGTTCTAGCCATCCTAGCGGGTGTGAAGTGGCATCTCACTGAGGTTTTGATTTGCATTTCCCTAATGACTCATGACGTTGAGGATCTTTTCATGTGCTTTTTCCTTGATGAGCTCTTAAGGCAAGAGAGTGGAGAAAAAAATGTGGACTGAAGAGGCAGCTCTGTTATCTCGAGGGGAAGCTTCACAGAGGGAGAGCAGCAAAGGGCCTGGGCGTCCATCAGGGAGGAAGAGGACAGGTGCCACTTTACGAAATGCTTCTCTCTGCCCTGTAGGAGCTCGATGCCCTCCAGCAGGTCTGGGAGATCACACGCGACTGGGAGGAGAACTGGAACCAGTGGAAGACTGGCCGCTTCCTGACCCTGCAGACGGAGACCATGGAGACCACGGCCCATGGGCTGTTTCGTCGCCTCACAAGATTAGCCAAAGAGTATAAGGTGGGAAGAAAGGAGAGGGAGGCGGAAGAGCAGCCGGCTGAGGATCAGGTCTGTTCCCAGGGAGGTCGTCGGGTCTTCTGATGCCTCCCACTTTTGCTCAGGACCGGAACTGGGAAATTATTGAAACCACTCGCTCGAAAATAGAGCAGTTCAAGAGGACCATGCCTCTCATCTCAGACCTGTGGAACCCTGCCCTTAGAGAGAGGTGAGGCTGCTCCTCTGCTTAGGGTGACTGCTTTGCCCGCTGGCCTGCACCTCCACCGGGTCCCTCCCGTTCCCCTCTCTGCAGCGTTCACAGCCCTCTCCTCCTTTCTGTCCATAAATGTATGTCTTTTTCTCTTTCGTCTTTTTAAAAAACATTTAATTTTGATGGACGCATGAAAATTGCATACACTTATGGTGTACAGCATAATGTTTTAAAATATGTACACATTGTGGAATGGCTAAATTGAGCTAATTATCATATGCATTACCTCATATACCTATTTTTTGTGGTGAGAATACTTAAAAGCTACTCTCAGTGATTTTCAAGTATACAATAGATTGTTATTCACCATTATTGCTGTGATGTACAGGAGATCTCTTGAACTCATCTCTCTTGTCTAACTGAAATCTTCTGTCCTTTAAGCAACGTCTCCCAAGGCTCCACCTACCACCCCAGCCCCTGGTAATCAGCATTCTACTCTGCTTCTGTGAGCTCAGCTTGTTTAGACTTCACATATCACATATGACTGCGATCAGGCGGTATTTGTCTTTCTTTGCCTGGCTTATTTCACTTAGCATAATGTCCTCCAGGTTCTGCCACATTATTGCAAATGACAGGAGTTTCTTCCTTCCTGAGGCTGAAGAGTATTCCATTGTATATATATGTATATATATATATATATACATTTTCATTGCTCGATGGACATTTAGGTTGATTCCACATCTTGGCTATTGTGAGTTAGTGCTCGGCAAACATGTGGCGCAGACACCAAGCCTGCCACTGTCCTCTATTTCTTGCACTGTCTCGGGGCATCCAGCCTTGCTGACTTCATGTTCTCTAACTCCTGCCCTGTCTACCTGTCTATCATGATTAAGCCTTATGTCTTTTTGTTTTCTTTTTTTTTTGAGACAGTCTCACTCTGTCGCCCAGGCTGGGGTGCAGTGGCGTGATCTTGGCTCACTGTAACCTTTGCCTCACAGGTGCAAGTGATTCTTGTGCCTCGGCCTCCCGAGTAGCTGGGATTACAGGCACCCTCCATCATGCTCAGCTAAGTTTTGTATTTTTTTTTTTTTTTGAGACGGAGTTTCGCTCTTGTTGCCCAGGCTGGAGGCCAATGGTGCCATCTCACTGCAATCTCCGCCTCCCGGGTTTTAAGTGATTATCCTGCCTCAGCCTCCCGAATAGCCGGGATTACAGGCATGCACTACGATGCCCAGGTAATTTTTGTATTTTTAGTAGAGATGGGGTTTCTCCATGTTGGTCAGGCTGGTCTTGAACTCCTGACCTCAGGTGATCCGCCCACCTCAGCCTCCCAAAGTGCTGGGATTACAGGTGTGAGCCACCACACCCCACCTAATTTTTGTATTTTTAGTAAAGATGGGATTTTGCATGTCGGCCAAGATGGTCTTGAACTCCTGGCCTCAAGTCATCCACCTGCCATGGCCTCCCAAAATGCTGAGATTACAGGTGTGAGCCACCGTGCCTGTCCTGCCTTAGGTCTTTGTCATACAAAAGATTTTGTTTTTTGTATGACAAAAGTATAGCTTTCTTTCTGTATGGTTTTTGCCTTTGTGCCTTGTTTAGAAAGACCTTTCCTATATGAAAGTTAAAAATATACCCTCTCCATTCTTTCTTCTAATGCTTTGTGTTTTTCAAGTTTAACTATTAATCCATCTGGAATTTGTTATGGTAGAGAAAGTATCTCAAGCCATTGGGAATAGATTTATAAAAATAAAGTAATTTTTATAAATGGTGTTTTAATCGTGATCTATCTATTTAAGGAAAACTAATTTTATTTCTTTATCTCTCTTCCGGTATAATGCTTTTGGCAATGCCAAAACCATTGTGTTATATGGTTATATATAACCTAACCATTTTATTTGCTTACATTATTTAACCTCTCCTTTTTTTTTTTTTGAGACAGAGTCTCACTCTGTCACCCAGGCTGGAGTGCAATGGTGTAGTCTCAGCTTACTGCAGCCTCTGCCTCCCAGATTCAAGCTATTTTCCTGCCTCAGCCTCTGGAGTAGCTGGGACTACAGGTGCACGCCACCACACCCAGCTAATTTTTGTATTTTTAGTAGTGACGGGGTTTCACGATGTTGGCCAGGCTGGTCTTGAACTCCTGACCTCGTGATCCTCCCACCTCGCCCTCCCAAAGTGCTGGGATCACAGGTGTGAGCCACCGTGCCCGGCCTCATTATTTAACCTCTCCAAGCCTCAGCTTTCTCGTTTGTAAATGGAGTAATAATAATTCCTAATTTATAGAGTAGCCATGAGAATGATATGAGATGTTTCATGTAAGGCCTTTACTCAGTGCAGCTCTAGAGTAAACCTGCAGTGATTCATTGTGTGTTTTGTAAGCACATCTACCTTAACTCCCTCTCCAGAGAATCAACTCCTGGAGGCTCTCACATCAACCTTCGTATTCCCCATGGTGCCTAGGATTGCATTTTTGACCCTGTTTAGCAAAATGTGTTGAATCATGAATTAATAACTATGCAGAATCGTAGCATCCCAATGAGAGCATTGGGGAGTAATGGTAATGCTCCTGACCTCACACCCTCCTGTTCCTGGCTGCAGGCACTGGGACCAGGTCAGGGATGAGATCCAGCGGGAGTTTGATCAGGAATCTGAAAGCTTCACCTTGGAGCAGATTGTGGAGCTTGGGATGGATCAGCATGTGGAGAAAATTGGAGAGATCTCTGCTTCGGCAACTAAAGAGCTGGCTATCGAAGTGGTATGACACAGTCGTCTCCCAGGCTCCGGCACCTCCTATGCCTCCTGGAGCGCAGGCTTCCAGCTGTTCATCACCTGATGGCGCCTCTCAGCTCCTGTTCCCCTTGGGGAAGAGATACCTGACTGCTGTGTCCCCCATTTTCTCTCCACAGGCATTACAAAACATTGCCAAGACCTGGGATGTGACTCAGCTAGACATAGTACCTTACAAGGATAAAGGCCATCATCGGCTCAGGTGGGGGGAGCTGGGGCTCTAGGAGAAGGGAGGGCTGTGTGACTTGGGCTGCAGAGTGAGGACCAAGGTTGGGCAGTGAGGATGGACTATGATTTTGACCTCTTGTGTCCCAGAGGTACAGAAGAAGTATTCCAGGCACTGGAAGATAACCAGGTAGCTCTGTCTACCATGAAGGCATCTCGTTTTGTCAAGGCCTTTGAGAAGGAGGTGGACCACTGGGAACGCTGCCTCTCCCTCATTTTGGAAGTTATTGAGATGATTCTCACAGTGCAGCGTCAGTGGATGTACTTAGAGGTCAGGACTCAGCGCCTGAGATCTTCCAGCTTCCTGCTTCTACTCCTTCATTTGCTTAGGACCTAGATTTTGCCCTGTTGTCAGCCTCATTCTCCTACCTTTAAAGTCACTCTTCGTCTAGGACCCAGACATCTGATTCTTAGTTATTACCTTTCATTTAGATTCCCTCCCTAATAAGTTTTTGTTCTTCTTCCAAGATTTTTCTTCCACTTTTCTTCTTAGACCCAGGTACCTGGCCCCCCACCTGCAACTTTCCTTGTAGAACTTGGGCATCTGCCAGCTAGCACTCTGTATCTTCTAATCAACTGTCATCCGTGATCTTGGAACAGGGAGCAGAGGGTGGAGAATGCGTGAGAAATGGCCTCTCATTGCAATTTTTGGCCCCTTCAGAATATCTTCTTAGGAGAGGACATCCGCAAGCAGCTGCCCCATGAATCAGCCTTATTTGACCAGGTCAACAGCAACTGGAAAACCATCATGGACCGGATGAGCAAGGACAACAATGCTCTCCGGAGCACCCATCACCCAGGTCAGAGCTCCGGGGCTCCTGCCCTGGCACAGCCTCGGTTGGCACTATGCTTGGTCTTGGTTGTGTGCTTCATTTATGAAAAGACTGATGCCCCCAGCTCTCATCACATTTCCCATCATCACCTCTTCTAAGCATTAAATCATAATTTCATAAATTAAACCCAACAAATATCTGAGTAGAGTATAATAACATAATGGTTAAGAGCATGGGCTATGGAATCAGTCAGATGAGTTTATTTTATTTATTTATTGAGATGGAGTCTCGCTCTGTCGCCCAGGCTGGAGTGCAATGGCGCAATCTCGGCTCACTGCAATGTCCGCCTCCCGGGTTCAAGCAATTCTCCTGCTTCAGCCTCCCAAGTAGCTGGGATTACAGGCATGTGCCACCACGCCCAGCTAATTTTTGTATTTTTAGTAGAGCCAGTGTTTCACCAAGTTGGCTAGGCTGGTCTCAAACTCCTGACCTCATGTGATCCACCTCCCTCGGCCTCCCAAAGTGCTGGGATTACAGGTCCCCAAGCCCAGCCTACATTGGCTTTAGTTTATCAGATTAACTAGTCTTCAGCCATGGGATGGGGTCAGGGATAGGGAAGAAAGGGATGGGTGGCAAGATGAACACATAGCGAGGTCTGGTTGACTGGGGGAGATTGGGGTAGAGAATCGGGGAGTCAAGTTTGACAATGGGCACCTAGAACGGGCATCCTGTGGAGAAGAATTCTGGTAGGAGGTGCAGAGGACCTCTTTTTCTTTTACCTAGGGCTAGTCTAACAGTTCTCCATTTTTCCAAGAGCCTTGAGTATACATATCAATAAAAATAACTTTAATTGTTCTGATTAAAGATAAACATGACAAGTTATGATATGCAAAGTTGAATGACAACTGATACTATCTGAAATAATTGACAGAATTATATTTTGGAACAGTTTATAAGCAAAGCCAAAAAAACAATGATCCCTTTGTTGAATGCAAAGAACGAATCTATCTTGTCCACAGCAACTGAGTCTGCCTGGAATCTTGGGGGATCACACTTAGGTTTTCACTCAAAGGATCCGACAGCCTGTAGGCCCTGTGCTTGAAGGCAAGAGGGTCACCTCTGAGTTTACACTAGTGTCCATCCTTTCTTCAGAAAGCTAGGAACTGGGAAGACAAGGGGAAAAATCAATCAAGACCTAAGGTATGGGGCTGTAGGCTGGGAGGAAACTAACATTGTTGAGAGGCTACACACATGAGTACATTTCAATTAGTATCTCACATTGGGTTTTGAGATGGATTTTATTGCCATTTTATACACAAAGAGATCAAAACCTGAGGAAGTTACTTGACATGCCAGTAAGTAAAAGAACTGTTTGGGCTGGGTATGGTGGCTCACGCCTGTCGTCCCAGCACTTTGGGGAGGCCGAGGCGGGTGGATCACCTGAGATCAGGAGTTTGAGACTAGCTTGACCAACATGGTGAAACTCCCTCTACTTAAAATGCAAAAATTAGCTGAGTGTGGTGGTGGGCACCTGTAATCCGGCTACTTGGGCGGCTGAAGCAGGAGAATTGCTTGAACCTGGGAGGTGGAGGTTGCAGTGAGCCAAGATCACGCCACTGCACTCCAGCCTGGGCGACAGAGTGAGACTTTGTCTCAAAAAAAAAAAGGAACTACTGTTTGATCGGGGGTCTTCTGCCACCCCATTCTGGGATTCTTTTTGCTATGACATGAGGGACACTGGCAACCCTAGTCCTTGCAGATTTCTTTCACTGTGTGTACATGACATGTATCTAAATAAAATGATTTAACTTGTTAGATTGTGTAAGTGGAGGGTAATCTCTACTTTTCAGAAGCTCTTGGGTTGGCCCGTGGATTCCCAAGTTCTTCCCCCAGCCCTTTTTCCTTTTTTGCCCATGGAAAATGAGGGAAGATGGACTTGACCCCCAAGTTCTTAGGCGGTCGTGTTATACAGTGTCCGCCACCCACTGGGGATATGTTCCAAGACCCCCGGTAGACGCCTGAAACCTCAGATAGTATTGAACCCAATTGCCATCAGTCGGAACATGTTTCTGTTCGTGTGTCCCGCCCGTAAATTCAATGCCCTTTCCATCTTAACTAAGCACTTATTAATGCACTGTGACTGTAACTTCTGCAGTTTGAGGTGTGACAGCAAAACAATCACAAATTTCTTTCTCCTCCTTCACAGTTTCACGGATAGAAGATTCATTCTTACTGTAGATCTCAGCAACCTCAGCTGAGAACTTTCACCTTTTCCTTTAAGGAAGGAAGATCTGTATGGAAGCACTTTACGGCTTCTCTTTGGACTATCTGAATTGGCAGCATCACTGCTCTTGTACTTTTGCTTACATTATTAAGTGAAATCAGGGTCACTTGAACACAGGCACTGCTGTGATGTCGCAACAGTTGATCTGATAATTGAGAGGGCTACTAAGTGACTCACAGGCAGGGCACCTCCACAGCGTGGAGACGCTGGACAGAAGGATAATTCACACCCTGGGGGACAGAGCAGGATGGGGAGAGATTGCATCACACTGCTTAGAACAGTGTCCAGTGAAAACTTAGGAATTGCTTATTTCTGGAATTTTCCATTCAGTATTTTCAGACCACAGTTGTCTGCAGGTAGTTGCAACCATGGAAAGTGAAACTATGGATAAGTATTAATGAAATCTCATATGATGTATCATTCATGCATAAATGGTAACATGTGCAATAGTGCATAATGAATACTGAGGAATGAATTAATGGAGAGAATGGGATGAGCATGGTAGAGGGTCTGGGATACTTCTCTGCATCCAAAAACCCCCATGGTAGTCTGTGCCGCACTGTTCAAGAGCTGGCAAATAACACAAAGTTGGGGCATCCAGATCCCCTCAGGGCAGTGGAAAGAAGGCCATCAAATGTCATTCATCACTCTTCTTCCCAGGCCTCCTGGACATGTTGATACAGATGAACACGACCCTGGAAGATATTCAGAAGTCTCTGGATATGTACTTAGAGACCAAGCGACATATTTTCCCCCGCTTCTACTTCTTGTCCAACGATGACCTGCTGGAGATTCTGGGCCAGTCCCGAAACCCAGAGGCCGTGCAGCCACACCTCAAAAAATGCTTTGACAACATCAAGTTGCTGAGAATCCAGAAGGTCGGTAGCAGTGGCCACGGTGAGATGGTGGGTGGGGAAGGGAGGTTGTTGGGGTATGAAAGGCTTTGGAGGGGACCCTGCCCTTCCAACAAGAGGACCAGGTTAATCAATGATTCTCGTTCCTCAGTGGGTAGGACGTCTTAGAATTGGTAATATTGAGAGGAGGGGAGAGGAGCAGAAATTACTCTCAGAAGGCCCCAGTACTTCTAGGTGGATGCCAAGCATGGGCAGCCCAGGCTGTGAGTAGCTTCTTTTTTCTACAGGTTGGAGGGCCCAGCAGCAAATGGGAAGCTGTGGGAATGTTCTCAGGTGACGGCGAGTACATTGACTTCCTCCACTCGGTGCTCTTAGAAGGGCCCGTGGAGGTGAGCAGTGGTGAGGGTCTGAGGACCAAGCTGGTTCTTCTTCCTATAGAAAGTTCGCGTGGCTGCACGAGGAGAGAGGAGCTCTGGGAATGGCCGATGGTCACTCCGCCTCCCTCCTGCCACTCCTGACAATGACAATCTGCCCTGAATGGAAATTTCCTTTGAAAGTCAGACCATCTGGCTCCTAGCCTCCATTTCTCTCAGGGATCCATTTCTCTTGTGGCTCATGCTTGTGATCCCAGCACTTTGGGAGGCAGAGGTGGGAGGAGCCCACTCACTTAAGCCCATGAGTTCGAGACCAGCTGTTGCCCGTTCCTGCTTTTCTCTGGGTACCAAGCCCTGGAGTGCCGCTTCCCAAGTGCCTTCCCTGTGGAGGACCTTGGCCCTGCCCCTAAGGCTGAACTGTCCTTTTCTTCCATCTCCCCCAGTCCTGGCTCGGCGATGTGGAACGGACCATGAGGGTGACCCTGCGGGACCTTCTCCGGAACTGCCGCCTGGCCCTCAAGAAGTTCCTTAACAAGAGGGACAAGTGGGTGAAGGAGTGGGCTGGCCAGGTGAGCTGGGTCCATAGAAATAAGGGAACAAGGGCCAGGCACTGTGGCTCTCGCCTGTAATCCAGCACTTTGGGAAGCCGAAGTGGACAGATCACTTGAGGTCAGAAGTTTAAGACCAGCATGGCCAATATGATGAAACCCTGTCTCTACTAAAAATACAAAAAATTATCTGGATGTGGTAGTGCACGCCTGTAATCCCAGTTACTCAGGAGGCTGAGGCAGGAGAATTGCTTGAACTCGGAAGGCGGAGGTTGCAGTGAGCCGAGATCCTGCCACTGCACTCCAGCCTGGGTGACAGAGCAACACTCCATCTCAAAAAATACAAAAATAAAGAAAGAAACGAGGGAACAAGGAAGATGGAGTTAAAAGGAGGTGGCCAGTGGAAAGACAGAATCTTGAGTCTCATACAGTATGGTTTCTTACCCCCCTTTCTGGGCTGTGGCTCTGGTATACTCCAAGCTGGACCCTTAGCTCCTGACCTGAGGCCCATGTCCCATCCTTCAGAGCAGACTGGGTGCAGTTGGGAGAGGCACATCGTTCTTGAAATAGCTGGGACTTGGGAGCTGGGCCGTGTGGGTAGCTGAGGACCGGGCTTTGGGACACGGCTTCTGCACATCCTCAGGTGGTAATCACTGCCAGTCAGATCCAGTGGACAGCTGATGTCACCAAGTGCCTGCTGACAGCAAAGGAGCGGGGAGACAAGAAAATCCTCAAGGTCGTGAAGAAGAAGCAGGTGGGAGGCTGGGCATGGTGGCTCATGCTTGCCATCCCAGCATTTTGGGAGGCAGAGGTGGGAGGAGCTGACTCGCTTGAGCCCACAAGTTCGAGACCAGCCTGGGCAATATGGTGAAACCCCGTCTTTACCAAACAATACAAAAATTAGCTGGCGGCACACCCAGGAGGTTGAGGCTGCAGTGAGCAGAGATCACACTGTTGCACTCCAGCCGCTGGGCGACAGAGCAAGACTCTGTCTCAAAAAAAAAAAAAAAAGAAAAAAAGAAAAAAGCAGGTGGGTGCTCTGCAAGTATGGGCTAGGCCTGGAGCTGGAATTGGAGGGAGGCAGCAATCAGAGTTAGAGGTGAGCTGGTGGAAAAGGGCCAGATGGAAGGGCTCTATGATGGAAGTCCAGTGGGGGCGGTCCTCAGTGGAGCAGAATTACCAGGAGGTACAGCAGGTGGGATCGGCACCAGCTTGGAAGTGGTGCTGGGTGGGGCGAGGGGTGAGCAGGCTTTGGCCGCATTGTTCTGCCTGCTCTCTTCCTTGCTGCCTCATGCCACAGGTGTCAATCCTGAATAAATATTCAGAAGCCATCAGGGGGAATTTGACCAAGATCATGCGGCTTAAAATTGTGGCTCTGGTGACGATAGAAATTCATGCCCGGGATGTGTTGGAGAAGCTCTACAAGAGTGGCCTCATGGATGTCAATTCCTTTGACTGGCTCAGCCAACTTCGGTTCTACTGGGAGAAGGTGCCAGATGAGCCGACTCCTGCTCTCTTAGCCTAAAACGGATCCTAATGCTTTCATTGCGTTGACGTTCTCTAAATCCAAGGATATCCTCAGCCGACCCTTAGTCCTGTCCCAGTGCCCTAATCCAGTTCTTCATTCCGTCTCCTCCCCACAATCAGGAGTGGCATGTAGTTGTCCCAGTCAGGGCTCACTGTGAATGTCACTTGAACAGGACTCAGAAACACTCCAGGTGGTCGCTGCATTAGGTTGGGGTGGACGTGCAATGTGACATCCATTATCTGTCTTGGCCATAAGCCACTCCCCGTTCCAACTCTAAAAGGGAACCCCGATCCCTTAACTGCAGCCTCCCTGACAACTCTGAGCCTCACTCTCAGTCACTGTCCCAGCTCTAACTCTCCTTCCAAGCCCACCTCTCTCCTGTTCTCCCCAGGATCTCGATGACTGTATGATCCGACAGACCAACACACAATTTCAGTATAGCTATGAGTACTTGGGTAACTCGGGCCGGCTTGTCATCACCCCGCTGACGGACAGGTCTGCTGTGTGGGATGAGTGAGGTGGCTGGGGTGGGGACAACGGAAGCTGAGGGGCTTCCCGGACTCTGACTCCAGTCCTGTTCTCAATTCTCAGGTGTTACATGACACTGACCACGGCATTGCACCTGCACCGGGGGGGCTCCCCCAAAGGCCCGGCAGGCACAGGAAAGACGGAGACTGTCAAGGACCTGGGCAAGGCCATGGGCATATATGTCATTGTGGTCAACTGCTCTGAGGGCCTGGACTACAAATCCATGGGCCGAATGTACTCAGGTCTGGCCCAGGTCAGTATCCTGCCACCCTGTGCCAGAGACCCCTTAAATACCTTTTCGTCCCAGAAAATAAACTGAAACCCAAATCTGGTTCAGTGCTTTGTAGCTTCATGACACTGCATCATGTGTAATTTTTTTTTTTTTCCTGGAGTGCAGTGGCTTGATCTCGGCTTACTGCAACCTTCCTCTCCCGGGTTCAAGCAATTCTCCTGCCGCAGCATCCAGAGTAGCCGGGATTATAGGTGTGCGCCACCATGCCTGGCTAATTTTTGTATTTTTAGTAGTGGCAGGGTTTCACCATGTTGGCCAGGCTGGTCTCGAACTTCTGACCTCATAATCCACCCATCTTGGCCTCCCAAAGTGTTGGGATTACCGGCATAAGCCACCGCGTCCAGCCACATGTAATTCTTACAACTGGGAAAGTCCCTTCCCCTTCCTGAGCTTCACGTAGCTTATTTGCAAAATCAGAAGATTATAAAAGATTAAAGAAAATAATGTGTGTACACTGGAGCAGAGTAGACACTCAGGGTGCACAAGTTCCCTACCCCGGTCTCTTCCCAACCCACACTTTCTAGCATCATCTCAGATTGGCCCCGTCTGATGGAAAGCTCTGGCCAGAGGCTACAACAGTGTACTCCTGTGCCCTTCTCCCTATGTCTATTCTGGAGGCGGCCTCGCCCATTGAAATGTTTTAAGGAAGGGGGGTGTGTTAATCATGCTTTCTAGCATCTTGGGGCACCTCTCCTGCTCCCAGTGACTCTGCCTCGAACCCCGTAGACTGGAGCCTGGGGCTGCTTTGATGAGTTTAACCGCATCAATGTTGAGGTGCTGTCGGTGGTGGCCCAGCAGATCCTGTCCATCCTATCCGCCTTGGCTGCCGGCCTCACCCGTTTCCATTTTGAGGGCTTCGAAATCAATCTGGTGTGGTCCTGTGGGATCTTCATTACCATGAATCCTGGTAGGTGGCAGGGAGTGGATGGGGTTCCCGGGGTGGGAAGAACTTGGTACCTGGTATCCAGGGCAAGTAACTGTGGATCCTCCTCGTCCCCCTTCCATTCAAAAGCATATAGCTAAGGAAGTCTGGCTGAAGATAGCAAAGGGGAGAGAAGGATAAACGCACAACTTTCTGGGAAAAGGGGAGGCAATCTTACTGTTTTCCCTAAAAGGATTAATAACCACTTATGTGTGTTTATGTAGACCCTGTCTTTTTTTTTTTTTTTTTTCACTCGGCCTCCCAAAATGTTGGGATTACAGGCGTGAGCCACCGCGCCCAGCCGTTGCCCTCGTCTTTCAAGATACTTAGCTGTCTACTCCCATTGCGCTAGCTCCCAGAGTTCTGATCTATCTGCCATCTCTTTTGCAGCAGGCCCAAGCGTCTCTCATTACTGTTCCCTAAGAACAGCTCTGGTGGAAGGGTCTAGGACAGCACAGGCATAGGAAAGCGTTTAGGAACTGAACGAATAAGAGGAACAGCTGTGATTTCTATTAGGACTGATGTGAGCTATACATAGAACTTGGAGAGATGGGAAATTGACAGCTCTGTTCTTTGAGTTTGAAACAGGGCCACGCAGAGAGTAAAGAAAGGACAGTAGATAAGAAAGAAGACCAAAGTGGGATGGGAAGGGCTGGGGCTGAGACGAGAAAGGATGTGATCTTGGAGTTGGGGAGAAAGTTAAGGATGGTGTTAGGTGGGAGAAGATAAGATTGATTGGAAAGTGACTTTTGGGAAGCAAATCAAGATGAGGAAATATATGATTCTTAAAAAGTGGCATTGTGTTCCAGGCTATGCTGGCCGCACAGAGCTTCCTGAAAATCTTAAATCCATGTTCCGTCCAATTGCCATGGTGGTGCCTGACTCCACCCTCATTGCAGAAATCATTCTTTTTGGAGAGGGCTTTGGCAACTGCAAGGTACTCTAATAATCCCTTTTCTCCAATGATTTTAATTCCCTTTCATAATCATTCCCTGGCCAGAGGAACTCCCCAAAGGCCCCACAATCAGCTTATCCTATAAAGAACTTAGACTACGGTCAGTTGGATGTGGGTGGAGAAGAATTGAGAGGAGCGAGGTTTCTCTTCTGTGATGTCACTAATTGATGATGACGTGATTCACACGATCTTCTAGGAGTCTGTAGAGCACCTGCTACCTGCTTCATGTCCTGAGACCTGGGTTCTTGCCTCTGACTGTCCTGAGATGAAGCAGAGGGATTTGTAGGGAGAGGGACTGTTTCCTCCTCTGTTTTCATTCCCCAGATTCTGGCCAAGAAGGTGTATACACTCTACTCACTGGCCGTGCAGCAGCTCTCCAGACAGGACCACTATGACTTTGGCCTGCGTGCCCTCACCTCCCTTCTGCGCTACGCTGGCAAGAAGCGCCGCCTACAACCAGATCTGACTGATGAAGAGGTAGAGCAAGAACACAGCCTTTGGACCTGACTTCCACTGTCACCGGCCCCGTGTTGCTTCTCTCAAGTCTTTCAGACCCTTTCTTTCCCCAGATTGGGATTCCCACCCTCCCGCCTGTCCCTGTCCCCGTTCCCTTGTTGCCCATTGCTTTGCTAATTGCTAACTGGTGTATCCATTGTTCTTGGCACCTGCCCTGAAACCCTTTGGAGGTGAGGGGCCTATGCCCTGGCTCGTCAAGCCTGAGTCTCTGTCTTTTCCCATCCAGGTTCTGCTGCTCTCAATGAGAGATATGAACATTGCCAAGCTCACTTCAGTGGACGTGCCCCTGTTCAATGCTATTGTGCAAGACCTATTTCCCAACATTGAGCTGCCTGTAATTGACTATGGCAAGGTAGTTGTCCCTTAATACTCTCCCCAACCGGGCGCTGTGGCTCGTGCCTATAATCCCAGCACTTTGGGAGGCCGAGGTGGGCAGATTGCTTGGGTCCAGAAGTTTGGGACCAACCTGGGCAACATGGTGAAACCCCATATCTACAAAAAATACAAAAAATAGCCAGGCATGGTAGTGCACACGCTTGTAGTCCCAGCTACACAGGAGGCTGGGGTAGGAGGATTGGTTGAGCCCAGGAGGTTGAGGCTATAATGAGTTGAGATCATGCCTCTGCTCTCCAGCCTGGGTGACAGAGCAAGACCCTATCTTAAAAAACAAAACAAAAACACAAAACCACACACTCCCTGACCACATATGTGAATATGCATGTGGGAACAGAAAGCTTGGCTTCCAAGCCTTGTTCTGCCGTCTACTGGCTATGACTTTGAGCAAGTCAGTTGAACTCTCTTTGGACTTCCTTATGTATAAAGCGATAGACTATTCAAACCAAACCTTCTGCTCTCTGACCCCAACTCCCTTCCCCGCTGACCTGCTCAAATGTACCTGCTCAGGCGCATCCATGCAGCAGTGCTCTGACTTCATCAAAACCTCTAATCTGTTGACTTTGCACTTTCTCTGTGCCCATCAGTCCTCCATGCCTCTGCTTCTCACCTCATCAGGTAGTTTTGAGGAGAAGCTGCTAGAAGCCATTTAGTATCAGAGAGCAGTGGAATGGAAGAGGGGGTTTTAGAAAGCATAAGAATGGCCAGGTGTGGTGGCTCACGCCTATAATCTCAGCACTTTGGGAGGCCGAGGCTGGCAGATCACGAGGTCAAGAGATCGAGACCATCCGGGCCAACATGGTGAAACCCTGTCTCTACTAAAAATACAAAAATTAGCTGGGTATGGTGGCTTGTGCTTGTAGTCCCAGCTACTCGGGAGGCTGAGGCAGGACAATCGCTTGAACCCAGGAGGCAGAGGTTGCAG